TATTATTATTATTATTATTATTATTATTATTATTATTATTCCTGCCTGCTGAATAGCATTATTTATTTATTTCGAGTGAGGAAGTTATTTTTCATCCCTAAATTCAATAATGTACTATTTAAATTTTTCTAAAAGCGTGTCCTTTGGTTGAAACGAGTTCTCTAGCGGAGGGCACCAGACATTTTTCTAATTGAAATTCTAACGACGGGAACGATAGGCGACACTTTCCTTCTTCTCAAACCAGGGACTTGCACTCCTTTTCGTCGGCTTGCTTCGTTTACCTGCGCAGGTAACTGACCTGTCTCTAAGGGCAGGGATGGCAAATGCCAAGCGATCCTCCATCGCCCAAAGCGACCCAGGGAAGGGTTAAGTGACTGCTTTGGGATTTCCTTCTTTATTTGGAGTATTTATACCCCGCTTTTCAGCTATAAGAGAGCCAGCGTGGCTACTGGTTTGACTACGACTCTGGAGATCATGGAAACCCACTGGGTGACCTTGGGGGAGTCACACACTCTCAGCCCCAGAACTCCCTCCACAATAGGTATGAGTCCCAAGTCGCTTTGAGTCCCTATGTTGGGAGAAAGGCGGAATATAAGAAAATAAAAAATTATATATATATATATATATATAAATAATTGATTCTTGTTCTTGTTATTATCTTGTATCCCGCCTTTCTCCCAACACAGGGACTCAAGGCGGGGTACAGCAAATTTAAAACAATACATTTCAAAATCTATACAAAAGCATCTAAAAAACATATTTTAGATATTAGAAGGCGCAAAACAACAACAATTTCAACCATAAAGGCTCTTAGAAGGGTTTACAGATTGTAAACTTGAGGGCAGGGAATTGTCCAATGAACAATCTAAACAAAACAGGACAAAAAGAAAAAGGAAAAGGAAACCGACTTCAAGCTCCAGAAGGCTAACAGAGTCGGCCTGAAAGGGTACATACATATTTATTCAAAAACTCTCCTCAAGTCGGTGGAATTTACCTTGGCTGTCAATTTGCTGGAGTTTCTCTCTGGCTATTTGAAAGGTGCTGGCCTCAGACCAATTGCTTGTCCTTGCTGGATTAGATCGATCGGTTTGATCGCAGAATGGCCAAGCAAGACCATAGTAAGCCCTATGGATTCAATGGGTTTCCTCTAGTGGGGAACTAACCACAGCTTCCTGAAGTCGACAGAGTCCCAAGGAAGTCAATGTGTCCCAGCAAGGGCGTTGTTGGTCATATTGACATTTTATTTTATTTTATTATTTCAATTATTTATATCCCGACTTTCTCCCACCTGTGCTGTCTGATATCTAAGGACCCGGACTTGGAAATATAGGGCCTTTGCAGACTGCCAGAAATAGTGCAAATTGAGTCCCCTTTAAGGGTTAGGGTTAGTGCTAGGGAATCATGGGAATTGTTGTTGTTGTTGTTTTCTGAGACATTGAGCCTTCTCTGTCAGAGAACTCTGGTGCCACAATAAAATACAGTTCCCATGATTCCCTAACCCTAAAAGTGGACTCAATTTGCACTATTTCTGGCAGTCTGCAAAGGCCCATATTCACAACAGCGCCTTAAAGACACTTTCTGAGGAGTAAGGTTCATTGAACACAGGGGAACTTGTTTTCTAGTAAGCAAACTCCGTCTCATCTGGCTTCAGGATCGTAACCCTGCTGCATTTTAGGGTATTTTACACCACCCAAAGGCTTCCTTTGAGATCCAGCGTGGTATAGTGGTTTGAAGGTTGGACTAAGACTCTGGAGACCAGGGTTCGAATTCCGACTCGGCCATGGAATGGGTGACACTCTCTCCGCCTCAGAAAATGGCAATGGCGAACTCCTTCTGAAGAAACTTGCTAAGAAAACCCCATGATAGGGTCGGAAACAGCTTGAAGGCACACAACAGCAAACAAAAAAAGGCCTTCACTTTCACAGCTAGGTTTCCTAGAAAGAAAGAAGGAAGTCTGGCACCAAAAATATATAAAGCCCGGATCAACGATTTGCTTCTTTCTCTCTTTCTTATCCACCGCGAGTCGAAATGAAGAACTAAAGTCGCCATCGTTTAAAACCAGAATCCCATATCGTTAGACTTTCTTTATATCCCATTAAATCCAGCAGGATTCCTTTCAGGATCGAAATAGACTGGCTCCATCTTTTGTATTTAAGAGGGATGTCCTTCTGGTCCTAAACTTGAACTTAAGTCCCCCCAGTTGATTCCACAGAACTGCTTAGACAAAACCGAACAAATGTAAATCAATCATGATTTTAAAAAGTTGGCCCTTTTTAAGCAGGCCTATATTTTTAGTGGGATATAATGTGAAAAGCAAGTACTGGACTGCAGATGTTTTTATTTGTAGGGAACATACCACCTACAAAGCTACAAAGCGGTTTAGTGGTTTAAGTGTTGGACAAGGACCATGGAAGACCAGGATCCGAATCCTTCCTTACGCATGGAAACCCACTGAGTGACCCTTGAGCAAGTCACACTCTCTCAGCCTCACAGGAAGAGAGTGGTTAAACCTCCTCTGATAAAATCTTGCCATAATACAGTCGGTCGTCATAAACTGGAATGGACTGTAGCATTAGTAAAAAGAGCCAGAATGGTCTGAGCTTGCATCTGCACATAGAAATAATGCAGTTGGACACCATTATTATTATTATTATTATTATTATTAAAGTTTATTTCTAAAGCACTGTCAATGTACACAGCGCTGTACAAAAAGACAATCAAGCATAAAATAGAATAAAAACCTGCCAAAGGCATACAATCTAAAATATAATAAAACAATAGGTAAAATAATAAAAGTCAATTAAAGCAAAAGACATTTACAATAATTCGTTAGTAACATCCACTGTCAACCCAAATGACAGAAAAAGTGAATGTATATCAGCTGTTCCTTGTAATGGGGATGACTTTAATTAAAAGTGTTTAGCTGTTAATCTCAGTGTATTTATGTTACATATTTCATATGCAATTGTTTAAATTTATTGTATATTGGTTTTATAGAAATTTTATGTGTATTGTTTTATCGTTTTGGTCTTTGCAATGGCCATTGGCCAAAAGCAATAAAGATTGATATATAAAAAAGAATGTATATCAGCCAGTGCCTGGGAATGCCTCCCTGAACAAGGTGGTCTTTAACTCGGATTTAAAAGTGGACAAAGAAGTAATGGCCCGTGTTTGAGAGGGAAGAAGGTTCCAGGAGTGAGGGGCGCTTTGATTTCCATGGAAATCTAAGATTTGTAGTTTTGTGAGATCTTTTAGCCTTCTCTGTCAGAGAGCTCTGGCGCCACAAGAAACTACAAATCCCAGGATTCCATAGCATAGAGCCATGGCAATTAAAGCGGTGTCAAACTGCGTTATTTCTGCACTGCAGATGTAGCCCCAGTGTTGGACTGGGACTCCAGGAGACCAGGGTTCGAATTTCTTCTACTCAGCCATGGAAACCTCCTGGGCGAACTGGGAGGGTCACCATAAAGTGGAATGG